AAATTGAGGAGAAAAACGGGGGTATTTTGGAGTTAGATGGAGAAGAAAATGATGACAAAGACAGAGGGGTCGGAAAAATGAATTAAATTCAACTAATTGTGGAGAGGATCTGGACAACTGGGTACTCTCCGTTTGCTGTCTTCGAATCCTTCGTGGCGATCGGAAGCTCTTCCTCTCAAATATTTCTGGACAAGTTCATTTTTGCCGCTGGCATCGTGTTTTGCGTCGCCGGTGAGCGGCGGCGGGAGAATCCGAGAAGCTCTAGCTTGGCAGTGGCAGCAGACCCAAATCTGCGACACCCAGAGGATCAAGATTAGAATGGCGAAAGAAGAGGCGGAGGAGGAGACGGCGGCGATTCTTCTGGTACACATCGGAGGCCGGCAGCCGGAAGTTGAAAAAACCCACATAAAAAACAAGAACAAAATTCGGAGGAATCTTCACTTTTCAACAGCCCCTCAGGCCTCAAATTTCTCCTCTCTCTGGCTCGACATCTATTGAATGGATTTGGTTTGGAATCACAAATCACAAATCACAAATCAGAGCTCTTTAATTTCTCTCTCTTTTCACAGATGGCCTCGAGTGGAGAGGCTTAGCTGTGAGATATATGAGTGAAGAAAAGACGGCTATAATGGGACTCAGAGAAAGAGAGAGAGACGACAGTGGCCCACGTGACGAGGGAATAGAAGGCTAAAATGGTCCACCACCACACACACACATATATATGATAATGGAAAAGTTAGGTTTGACTCCTATTTGGCTTTCATTAGTTAACAAATTAACAATGACGAGAAAACCGTAGTGATTTCAGCATGGTTTTACTCCAAATTTATTCAAAATACAACCTTATGTCGGTGCCATTTTATTTTATTGTCTTATGATTAAGATTCCAATAACGTGAGACATTAAAGCCACGTATGGTTTTGCCATTGGACGCCTCGAGTAATTAGGAGACAATGCAACGAGAACTCTTTTCTTGACGATGATTTTGATGATACCACAGTCATGTGAGTTCTTTGGGAGCTTCCAATTGGTCTCATTTCTACCAAACATTTTAATTTATAGGCTATAAAATATAATAATACTGAACATTTTTCAGTACTCCTTGATATTATCAATTTAGGGTTCAAGTTGAAGGAGACTTTGTAAAGTTGTTTTTCAAAATTTTTATTCAAAAGGGGTTTCTCAAAAACCTGAAAACTTTAATTTAATTTACTTTCTACGTAAGTTAGCTAATATTTTGTTTCTTCTCCACAGCCACAGGGGCCACTTCCTAAAAAGTGCGACGGAATGTGGGGTATTGATTAGAAGGAAGATAAGAAATAAGGCATTTTTCCAACTACATTTCAGCACACACAAAAAAAAAAACAATAAATTAATTAATTAAAAAAAAACCAAATGATTATTCCAAAAACCCTCTTGCGCACTTACTAGTATAACTCACTTTAAAGTCGATTCAACCGGGTAGATTAGTACTGGAGTAAAGAAAAAGTCAAAGATTATTACGCATGCGTCGTGGTAATTACTATCTATTTTTATAAACGACAGATTGTATTAAATTCTTTATTGGATTAAGTAAAGACATGGACTCGTCCTTCAAGAAAAAGGAAAAGAAAAGGCAGGAACCAAAACCATTGAATTGAAAATGAAAACATTTCTACTCTATGGCAGAGGCAGAGGCAGAGTAGCATGAGATGGAGAAAAAAGAGTGATGAGGCCATGTCCTACGCAGGCAGAACAGAACATCCAAAAGGAAAAGGGCCCCATTCTATCAATTTCAGAAAGCCTATCTTGAATTTTGAGCCCCATGCAGTGCAAGGGCATTAAAGTTGAGCAACTTTTGCTTCCTATTTGGACTTTGTACTCTTCTTCTGTCCTATGACCCTTTTAATCCTCTTCGGGTGTCTTTTATTACCTTTGCCTTTTTCCTTTTGGCCGTTTGGCCTCACTACTCACTCCCCCATCTGCCTTCTTCTGCCTCTCCAACCTTTTTCCCTTCTCTCTCTCACCAACCAAATGACTTGGTCAATATTGGAATTCAACTTCTTCCGATTTGACAGTTTCTAAAAGTTTCAATTCATTCTTTTCTTTCTTTTCCTATTCATATGGAAATGGAATTACATCCAAGCTTGCTTAGTTTTCTCCATTTCGAACCAAACCACGAGCTCCCCTCTGGCTCCAAAAAGTTGCCAACTGACTGAAATGTTCTTTGCTTAAATCTCAATCAACATATTCCCTCCAACCACCAACATCAAAGTAGCTTCTCCATTGGCAATCATAAATGACAGTCCACAATAGTTCTATTACAGGGTAAAGGATAGATTTCGTAAATATATTATAACCTTTCCAGATTAAGCTTCATTTCCAAAAACTAATATCATCTGCAAAAGCTCTTTCTCAGGAACACCATCAATTTACACGACCTGAGATAGATATAATATGATTAGAGACACAGTGACTAAAAATTTAATTAAGCAACAATAGAGATATAAATCATTAGTATACCCAGAAGTGGAGGTGATAATCTGACATGGTGGATTTTAAGCATAGCCAGCCATTCCGACCACTGAGTTTGTACTACTTGCGTTTGAGGATAGCTTTGCCACTGTAACCAAGTACGCGTTATGTTAGATATATTTCAGAAGCAACCATGAACCATGCCCCACCAATAAAGACACCTTCCTGCAATGTTTCACTGTGGAGAAGTTCTGTGCATAAATAACTCCATGGTACCGAGTGGATACGCGTTATTAATTATACCTGCAATTACACAAGCTTCTGAACACCAGAGAAGCCATCCTGGAATACGTATTGAACAGGAATCAAACTTCGAACTTCTTCATGAGTTGGTTGAAGTTTTTATTGAACGACTTACTTCAATGATGTACTCAGAAGATTTTCAACTCCTGGGAGGTTTTAATTATCAGAATTGTTTGCTTGACTCCGTCAACCGGATGAGACAAAACGAATTACAGACCATGCATGATTTTCTCTGGGAGAATAAGGATCGTTTATAGAACAAATGCACTTTGTAGCATCCATCAATAGTGTGATTCAATTGAGAGGAGAAAATGCAGCTGAAAAGCCATTTTGAAAGCATAAATTATTGATCACTTGTGAAACTCAGACTCAATAGAATATATTGGAAATTTCAACCTGATAATGATTTTGTAGACACATTTATTTGCAAGCATGCTATTGATTAAATTAACATTTTGACCATTTAAACCAGACGAAACTTTATTATAATACCATGGTACCATATCATACTGAACAGTATCTAACTTATCATCACACCCAAAGCATTTCAACATGTAAAATCGTCGAATTTTTACAAGTCTTCTTTTTTTATAATTATTATAATCGAATTTTTACAAGTTAGAGAGTTGTTTCCCTCGTTGGAGGTGATTATAGTCGTTTGAGAGGGATGGAAGGACTAACTTGTACATGCACACAGAAATAAAAGGACAAAAATAGGGGACATTTATCCTTTACTATCACTCTTCTAATCACACGATACTGTCCAGGCCATTGATCTCTCTAGCCAAGGCAGGTCACATATGAGACAGTGGGGGGCCTTCTCCTAGTACAACATCAACTTTTTCTCCTTACCTAAATCCTGAGTATTATGGGTATTTAATTGTAAGAAAGAAAGAACTTACCATCTTATTAATATAGCACTTTGATCCACAAGGATCGACCCAATGGATTAATGGGGCTTGAGTAAGATTTAGGATTGGTCGCGCTCACTAGCATACCCATTATACAAAGAAAATATTCATTAGAACTAAGTGTAATCTTAAAGCCATACTGATCAAACATAAGATGGACCCACCACTCTGTAGGTGCTCATCCATTTTACAAAACAAAAGTGGAAAACGTTGGAGCCAAACCAATTGCCTAACTAAAGATGGTATCAAATCAACAAAAGAATCTGTATTTTTAAGTAATGAAAGATCTTATTCTTTCCCTAGCTACTTCCCTTTAGCTGAATGAGTGACTCTTGAGATATTTTTCTCATTCTAGTAAAAAAAGAAGATGATGTAATGGAACTAGTTTACACTTATTATAATAATAAGTAGATCCAATTTATTTTAGCACAAACTATGTTAAAAAACCAGGTTTCTGCATTTGCTTTTCTTGGAATTGAGAAAATTCAGGAGCATAGATGTTGGATTTGACATGCCATTATTCATACCAAAGGAAAGAGAAATGAAGAAAGAAAAAAGAATTCCATGGGAATCGTCATCGACATCAAACCTGGATATAGCTAGATGAAAGGCAATTGCTCGTCAATTACAAGTTTTTTGCTTCGTATAGGTACAAAATGGATTTTAAAAGAAACTTTTCATTTAGTAAAATTACTACTAGGTAGTAGGTTCTAAGCTTTTGAAGATGGTGCCAATAGGTCTGTATTCTTTCGCAAAAGTTTTCTCCAAATCCTTTCTCTCTGATCTATGAGCTTCAATTAACTCAGAGACAGATACGGCAGCAGTAAAAGTTAACACAGGTTCTGAGTAGTTAAAAAGCTGATTTTCTTGTCCAATTACTTTTATGAGAAACAGTTTCATTAATTGGGGAATGGCAAAAGAATTTTATAAAAAATAAAGAATAAATAGGAAATCAGCAAAGAAGCCTAGAGGGCTAACAACCTTACCTAGAGAAGAAATCTACAAAAAGCTCGCAATTAGGCATAACTATAAGAATCTTTTCATGCGGAAATCTAGCTAGAAACGTCAAAAGTGACCTAACTTTCTAAAATTCTCTTGTCAACAAGAATGCTGTTATTCCTCTCTTTTAAACCTCCCAAAAATTACCAAACTTGGATTGATGTAACTCGGTCTCATTGTCTCAGAAACAAGATTCCACAATGAGTTGAAAGAACAGCCTCCAAATCCTGAAACATCACTCAACTAAGACCAACAGTTTCAAAAGTTCTGCCTAAATTGTCATAAATGAATAATTCATCCAAGTAAATTAACTATTGACTAATCTTGGCAAATGAAAATTTTTCTTTGAGTGTGCAAGTGTTACTGATGAATATACAAGTGTCGAAGACCAGATTTATGTAATCTGTCCACGGATTAAAGGTGCTTGATCATTGCTGATTACCAACAACTACAAATAGAGATGTCCAAAGAGTCGGTTGGAGTTCATCAATTAATTGTAGTAGTTAGTTGGCCTGGTTTGTTACACCTGCATGCCTCTCACTTAAATATTAGAGAGCATAAATGCAGTCTCCACTATTCGAATTTAGCTCTACTATTTAAATTGTGCAGTCATAAAACAGAGAGAAACTAGTCAATAGAATGAGAATTTCTTCACTGTAGTTTTCCCCCTTTCTCCCTATTACTAAGTCAGCTAATATGAATACACACTCAGAGATGGTTCCTCTAGGTCAGGCGATCTCTACAGCAGCTATTGATGTATATGAAGATATCCTCGGTATTCTCGCGCCAACACACTTCCGTTAGAGAATTGTATAGGAATTCTCAATAATTTAGACACGAGACATTATCCAAAGCTCCTACTCTTACAAAACACCAAGAATTTGGTACAAGAAGCATACTCTCAACAGAGGTTAGGTTACTCAGAGGGTAATTTATTGAGTTTAGAGTAATTTTAATAAACTAATGATGGAGTCTAACACCATAGGATGAGCTCGAATATTGATTAGGTTTACGAATTCAAAATGTGAACTGTTGATATGAAAACATTGACGAATTTGAACATGAAAGCATCAGTCTCATGTAAGCTAAATCAACAATAGACCTGCGAGTTTAAACTTCTAAATTATAGTAAATTTAACAAGAAATCCACAGACAAATAACAATGCTTGATAAAACAGAGAATCAACAACAATTTGGTAGGCTAAATACGAGAGAGAATGGGCTACTTACACGATTTTCAATCCTTTAACATCATTCGAGCTCAAAAGTCGAAAGAGTGCTGAAAGTGCTTCTCCATCTCTGGAAAGAAATGGCGAACGACTACGTAGATGAGTAAGTGAGTGAGAAATGCGAAGCAGCATAACGAAGCTTTCACCTAGCACATTTTCAATTTGAACTCTTACCTTCCTTCTACAATGAAACGTAATGAGAGAAATTGTACTCCGTAGTTGCAGAGCCTGGATTGGCTTGTGAGAGCTTCAAGGTCCAACTAAGATTCATCCGTAGAACCCCCCAGGGGGCGTGAGTGACCGAAGTGGATGTTGTGGCCCACCTTTTTACCATACAAACCTTTAATCTATATAGTTTATATTTAGTTTGTACATGTAAGAGAATGTGCAATTTCGAATGCTTGCTAAATTTATGATTAACTTAAAAAAATGTGTGGTTCGAAGTACACAAACTCGTGTTTCAAATATAAGTCCAACTTCACTGCCAATTTTGAGTATAGTTTAACAATTAAGATATTAGTAACATGAAGGTTTGGATTCCCACTCATATGGTTATAATGTTGTATTCTAAATTTAAAATGAAAAAGAGAAAAAAAAAATCACAACAACTTGGAGTATGAATAGGCCCATCTTACAATGTGTGGTGTTTTATACGCGAAATTGGGCCGGTCTTTCTTCCATGAAGCCTAGTATTGGGCTTATGATCGCTGCTCAATACCCGAGCCCTAAAAGCTGAGGCTTAACTGTAGATAGGACTCTCGTAGCCTCCCAATGAGCGGGCCTCTGATCACGGATCTGGGCCATCTGGCATCCTCTCTCTCTCTCTCTTTCTCGCTGTCATAATGTCAGTGGTCCACGTAGTGAAGCGTATTTTGGTGACGTGGCTAGTAGAGTTCATTTAGACCCACTCCACTAAACACAATTAAATTAACACAGAGAGCAAACTCAGAAAACAAATCACCAAAACGACGATAAAAAAAAAATCGAATTAAATTAACCCCAAATATAATTCTGAATTTATTTTGTGTGTGTGTAAAGTATTTGAGTTGAGGCGACTGGTGAGTGTGGAAATTGGGAGGCCCATTCTTGATTGCTGTTGGGTTGGGTGTGAAGGAGATAAGGGTAATGGGCAGGTGCCACGTGGCGGAAGGAGAGGGTGGTTGTGGAAGCGATAAGGTTTCGTCGACTATGTGGCCATTAGAAGCGTGACATGATCTTTAAATCGAAAATAATGTCCAAGTTTTTTACCAGCTGAATTTACGACCACTGAATTGGTTGGGGGTTTTGGATAAAAGGGGGAAGAGGTGGAGAAGCGTTGGAGGGGAAGGAGATTGGGATTATAAATAGGGGACCATCTCACAGTGCAAGGCCTCTCAAGCTCAACAACAACAGCGCCCTTACTACTCTACTACCTAACTAGCAGCTTCTAGTAATCAACAAGAGGGGCAAATGGCTTCCTCCTCAATTGTCTCATCCGCGGCCGTTGCCTCCGTCAACCGCGCCTCCCCTGCTCAGGCTAGTATGGTGGCACCCTTCACTGGCCTCAAATCCGCCGCCGCCTTCCCCGTCACCCGCAAGACCAACGACATCACCACCCTCGCCAACAACGGCGGGAGAGTTCAGTGCATGAAGGTACGCACACAACTCTTCAACTAACACACATTTCTTTTTTGATTTGATTAATTGAATATTGGGGGGAAAAAAAACAAAAAAAACAGGTGTGGCCTCCACTTGGAAAGAAGAAGTTCGAGACTCTGTCGTACCTGCCTGATATGACCGAAACTCAGTTGTTGAAGGAAATTGACTACCTGATCCGGTCTGGGTGGATCCCCTGCATTGAGTTCGAGCTGGAGGTAGTGTTCTTTTTTTTAGAATGAATAATTTTTTAGTAGACGATGGGATTTTGAATAAGATGTAAATTGGTGGTTGCAGCATGGATTCGTGTACCGTGAGCACCACAAGTCACCAGGGTACTACGATGGGCGCTACTGGACCATGTGGAAGCTGCCCATGTACGGCTGCACAGACGCGTCTCAGGTGGTCAAGGAGATCGAGGAGGCCAAGAAGGAATACCCCAGCGCATTCATCAGGGTCATTGGCTTCGACAACAAGCGCCAAGTGCAGTGCATCAGTTTCATTGTCTACAAGCCATCAAGCTACTAAGTCTCGCCTCTTCGTTTCGCTTCCATTGGGCTTCAACAACATTTGAATTTTTTTTCTTCTCTTCATTTTACCGTTTTGGTTTGTCTCTTCAACCTATGTTTATTTCCCGGACTTTCCAATTCGAATTGGAATAAAATGATGCTTTGATTTCTCCTTCAATCTAATGCAATCATGTTCCCTGCTTTCGCCCAATTATTATGCATTCATCAAATGTTCAATTTTCTTTTTTTTCCAATTCCGTTTCTGTGTGTGCTCGAGAATGGAGATTCATTGCCGAATGCCGATAACGATAAGGTTCAATTTCAGCCAATCAACCGCTGCCTTTATGATATTCCTTTTTTTATATATATATTTTAAAAAATAAACGATATTTTGGACGTTTGGGCCTAAAAATCAAAGGGCCGTTTTTTTTTTTTTCTGGAAGCTTGAGTAATGAAGGCCGACGGCTGCCCTTTCCATCGGTGGATTGGGAAGGGGCCACTCCACTTGTATGGTTCATAATGGGCTTTCCGGCTAAATATCTGTCGCTGCCCCACCTGAAGTTGTTCTGTAACTACCATGAAAATAACACTTTTCTTTTTTAATTTCTTTCGTTCGTGGAAAATTGGAAACAACAAACTCAATCTGAAGTTTTGAATGCTTTCTTTAAACTTTAATTTGGTAAAATAGTTTGCAAACTAATCATATTCCTCTCTTTTTTATTAGGTACTTCCTTTAACATCAATAATGTACATGAATAAACATGATTCGATTATGAATATATTTATAAATATCAAGTTGAAGAGAAAATTAATATATGAGACATATAAGAGTGCATGTCATTGTAATTCTATGGTACAAAAGCTAATAAAGCAATTTGGAATTATAACTTATTGATAGCTTATTTGCATGGCATAAAATAGTGAAAAAAAGCAATAAGTACTTGCCGTAGTGCCCAGGATATTGGTCCCAAATAAATGAAATATTAGATAATATTATTTTTATTTGAATTATAATTAGATTTGGATTAAAAAAATTAGATTTGTTAATTTGAATGATCATTAAAGATTATATTAGCATAAATATGTTATTACTTGTTGAAGTGCTCAATGTATCGGTCTTGAAGAAAGGTAGAACCATCGTTCATAGAAATAAAATAATAAAAAAATTATAGATAAAAATAATATGTTGAAATTAGCAAAGTAAGAAATGAATGAAGAATAGAAGTAATCAAAGAAATTATTTAAAATAGAAATAAAAAAACAAACATGTGAAATTAAGGTCTCAAACACAAACTTAATTCATAGAATTGTATGTAATTCGAATATAGTTAAGATTAGTTATAATAATTACAAAACTAATTTAGAATCTTCCATCCTATTTGAGAAATATGTATTTTCAATTGTGCGTATAAGAGAGTCTTATTTTTGAAATAGTAATAGTTGTGAATTTAATTGTCAAAACGAGCATAACTAAGTAGTAATTGACATATATTTTCAATCATGAGGCTGTGAATTCGAACCCTACCCAAAACATTTTGAAAAAAAAAACAACAATGGTGAATTTAATTTTTTGGTAAAATAAGATAAGAAAAACATTTTCACCGCAACAAATATACCATAAGATAAAGGTTATTTTTGTAGTTTTCTTTAAGTTCAAACAAAATAATAAATATATGATTTATGACGTTTAATGTTATCCTTTTCATAAAACTAACTTTCAATTGGACGAAAAGACACGATAGAACGTGTGAACCTCGTCTGCTTCCAATAGATAGATTGGACATTTGAACCACAATCAAGGACAGCCGTTGGAATTTTCCACGGGCTGGGCGACAATCGAGAGATTTGACGAACCAATCAGTCCCTTTCCCAGATGTGGGCCGAGCATAGAGAACGTTGGCACGCCCAGCGAGCCCTTTCTCGGCCCATAGTATAGGCCACGCGTCTTGGCCCAGCATTTCATTCAACCCACGATTGGGCTCAGAATTAGCCCAAATAGATATTGTTGTACTTTTCTATCACTTGTTTTAGTCCTAGGAAGTAGAAACCAACGCTCCACTTTGAAGATTCCATCGTGGCCAGCTGTCTATTACTGAATTAACCCACTCGTACTCCATACCCCTTCTAGTACCAAAGTCACTTAAATGAGTAAGTCACCCATCCTTCAAATGTACTGAAGGTTTCTATTGTATCAATATACCATTGTTTAATTTTAGTGGTTGCATATACTTAGGTGATTGATAGAAAAGATCTTCAAGAATGCATTGCCAAATCTATTTCTTCCAATTCAACTGTCACTCTCTCAACATTATGCTTTTTTAGAGTGATCCATTAAGTCACGAGTATCTACTATTTCACCACCAAGACATCTTGAGAGTGAATCATATTCATTAACCATATTCTACCTTAATCCTTTGAAGATTCCATTGCAAAACCACCGATGTTAACTGTCATCACCACTTTTTTCTTTTAACAAAGCAGTTCTTTTTAGTAATATTTATCAAATTATTAGTTTATGCTAATTTTGTAGCTCAAACATCTGATATGAAGCAGGGAATCTTGTCCCCTCCCAATGTAAAAAATTGTGTCAGAATTCAGAAAACAACACTCTATAAAGGGGCAAGCTCTGCAACAAAGTTGCTTTAGCAAAAGCTGGAGAGGTCGGTGATACCGTGAAGATGCCCTGAAAAAGAAAATCCAATGGATCCCATCACACCCATCTCCATTAGCGTTATGCCTAAGCAAACACACTACATCTTGATCTCGCAGAATCACTTTCTGAACCAAAATCAAACAAAAATCCAGAGACAGAACTAAATTCACAATCAGAAAATGTTCTACATTATTCACATGTTGATGACTTCTTTCTTACAGACTCCATTTCAAATTCTGCAATATGTACAGATTGCCTCTCTTTCTCACTCTTTAACTTCAAATGATCCCAAAACGAACCACAATGAAAATTGTCCTCAACCTCAACTTTCTTCTTACAGACGCCTAATTACAAAAATATAATGCAAGAGCTTGACATCCATAGCATCGTTTGCCCCCGACTCAAAAAAAGCCTTACAAGTGGACAGTTTTAGTATACATGGGGTTGATTTTTTTTTTTTTTTTTTATTTACATTTACAGAGAACCCTTCAAACGTATTTACACGAACGCAAATCGTATCCTTTTCTTCTCTTGAGATCTCCGAGATGAAGTATAATATGTCTTGTATTGTATGGAATTGATTTTAGAGATGGGGTTTCTAGGCGAAGGCAGGGATGCTGCAATTTTGCCTATCCCTGTCGAGGCAATCGAAACCCTCAATCCTCACCGCTGGTTTGTTCCCAAAATTCGCCCTCACACGGCCTCCTTTCCTGGAGGCTGTGGAGGGTGACAACTGAACCGACGGTGAAGCTGCAATCGGTGCAAAGGGAATGAATTTTTCGTCCCCGAATCGGGCGTCCTGAATCAATGGGTTGGCTACTCTGCTCGGCGGAGACCCACATAAAAAAGGGGGCGACGAAGCCAACTGCGTGAAGGATTGGTCCACGCTGCAACCATTCTGTAAGATTAACGATATGATTAATAACTTTGGTCCACGGAAATGACTTTGATGTAGACAAACGAACCTACGAGGGCCTCCTCTAATATTAGTTAAATTATTTGTTTTTCTCGTGGAAAGGGGGAAGAAGATGGCACTGATTTTGATCTGGAACAGAAAAGAAATTGAAGTCTAATTAAAGAGACATACTTTTGTGAGGAGGAAGTCCAGCAGATCCGGTCCCGCTGCCATGTCAATTTGCTCAACTTGGTGACTGAAATTCGGTTCAAGAAGAATTAGCAGTTTATTTAATTATTATCATGATTTCAGAAGGTTGGGGGAAGAGGAGACTAACCATAGATTCCACCGGAGTGAGGCATCGGCGTGGCCGTTGACGGTGACCTTTAGATTGCTTAAACGTCGAGGTTTAGGGCAAACTATCTGATCTCTGAGGTCAGAAATGGGGCCCGGAACAGAGGTTCTCATCTCCTCGTGGCCCGAGAAGGTGTTTGACAGAATGGCGCAGTGATTCATGTTTGCGTCTTCGGTTATATCAAGGGACAAATAAACCTGGAGAGAGGAGAAACAACCAAAAACATATTATATAAAAGAAATCGCCCTCGCGACATATGGCACCAAACAGACGATGAAAGCGGAAAGAAAGGGAAGAAAATTCAAAGTTTGATTTTGTCCCCTCGGCAGATCGGAATCTGTTCGGCAATTTCGCGAATAAATTAAAATACAAAGTTAAAAAAAGAATGGACAAAAATAAGCTCATTAGTTGGCATGATCCTCACTGTCTAAAACAATTCAATATTTTAAAACAACACACACACACAGACGCAATCCAAAGACTCCCGAGTTTTATGCAAAATAGAAAGTAGATCTCGAGGAACAAGGGGGGAAAAAAATCAAATCAAAACCTGAACGAACTCCAAATTTTCAAAACCAAAAATCACAAACGATTCAATCACTTCCCTAATCGCCTAAAATTTCTGAGAAAAATAAACTGGAAAAGATATGTCCAATCATCCACCCTAGAGTTCAGAGTACAATTTCACAATCTCTAGACACGAAAATTTCTAAGAATCTCAGAAACCAGACGGCAGATCCACGTCAAAGAATTAGAAATTTCAGTCTCAAACAGTCAACAGATTTAATTAAACGACGGAAGCGCGCCGCAATCGAGAAGGAGAGAAAGGAAAATTTGAAATTATAGAGGGGGAAAAGATGAATACCTGAAAATCAAGAGGCAGCAGTTGGCTGTGAGAGGTCCGGAAAAGGCTGTGGAAGTATTATATACAGAAATCAAAGAAGAAAAACTTAAAAGCTAAAGCTCCGTGTGGATGGGCATAAACGGATAACTGTTGAGCACAGATACAGAGAGATGGGAAAAGTGAATAAAGCGCGGTTTACAAAGAGGGAGACAGAGAAATCAGAATAGCAGAAAAAGGAAGAGAGAGAAGAGAGTAGAGAGATAAGGCGGAGGAGGAAGAAGAAGCAGAGGAAGACCAGCAACGGTTCCCAACCCGGGCCGAGTGAGTCTTCGCATCGGGTTTATAATTTAATTTATATTTCCATTTTTAAAAAATATATATTTTTTTTATTTTAAATTTCGTATTTGTTAGGTAAGTGGAGCGTTGGCGGTGCCGGTGGTGCTACTGCCAATGCCAGCGGAGGGCGACAGAAAAGTTTCACCGGTTTCGGCGCCTTAACTCCCAACTTTTTAATTATTATTATTTTACTGTAGATGTGTAAATATCTCAAATTTTAGACGGAAACCCCAAACTCCAGCGGGGCCCCACTCATCACTGAATTAAATGGACGGTTGTACTCAATTACCACACAAGCTACCTGATTCCGACACGTGTATCGCCTCATGTGGTTAGTCGGCTATCTCAACGACGTCGTCACGTGTTTACACGCTTTTTCAAGCTGCAAAGTATTAACTATGAGTTGGTTCGGAAGATGAAAATAACGAGATCAATGATTGTATAATCACCATTTACGCTTCCTCACCTTTGGCTATGGCTAGGCTTTTTGGTGGAGATTAGATATTATTAAAGAAAATATGATGCAATATATACGTAGGAATGGTGAGTCAAAATTACTGATTCGATACCTCTCTAGAAAAAGTGAGAGAGAAAGAGATATGAGAAAACTGTCCACTTGTGTAATGCTTATATAAAAACAAATCAAGCTTTTTCAGTCCAAAGTTTAGGTCGAGTCTCAACTCTCTTGTCCAGTTGTCCAGCAAACCACTGCGAGTATGTTACTCCCTTCCTTAAACCCTTTAAGTCGGATCAATCTTGCCTACCCTTCCATGTTTTAGTCATCTCACTTAATCCATAACCTGAGTAATCATAATTGGATTTCAAATTTCAATTATATAGGTAATTATCTTATTGTTCTGAAATCTTGATTCAACTTAGTAGATAAATATTAGTAGTCAAGTGGGAGGAAATGTACCTAGTCAAAGGATGGTACAAAAATAATAGATATTAAACATCAACGTCAATTAACTTGAATCTCTAGTATATTCAAGTATGTATAGTCATATAAATGTATCTAGTCTTTTGATCTTTTCTTTCCTTGTATATACGGAGGAGATGTATGACGTTCGTCATTGCAACCAATATGGTAAGGTGGCACTCCAATTTATTTGCTCCCATTTATTTAACTTGTTAAGACAACTTAGGTACCCTTATTGGTTGTCACTTTAAGATATGGTGGCAATGTTGACAACTTTACAACAAATATAAGCTAAGGTTGTTACAAATTAGGCACTTTGATTTAACCTTGTTAAGCCCCCTAACCTTTTAAAGTCTCTTACGATTTCAAGGGTTTTCTAATTACTAATCAGGAATATCAATATAAAAAAATTTCTCCCATGATTCTTTCTATTACCAAACAAAAGTCCATTCTTTCAATTTCTACTTGATTAAATTTGGATTCTTGGAAATAAAAGCATGAAGCTAAAGTTACTCGCCCAAAACACCTTTTAAAGGATTAAATGGTACGTTTAAACTGAATAAACCCTTATAGAATACTTATTCAGCCACATGTAAGCCCTCTAGAAATGTCATTGGGTTAGACAATAATGATATTATCCAACGTACCAAAACTAATTGTCACTCCACCATTAATAGGAAATGAAAGGGTTGATACATATAGAATAATTTTTTATTTTATTGATAATCGTATTTTACCGGAAAATATTTTTGTTAGGTGTTTAAGTTAGATAGCTTTTCGATCTCATCTAGACCTAGCTTTTCTATTTCATTGTTAATGATATGTGGCAGTTTATTAAAGTAGCAAGGTTTCTATTAAGGTGAACTATGTTATATTTTAGAAGTTTCACCCCTAACAAACTTGAATTTAAGTTAGAATGCAAAGCTTTTTTTTTTTTAAATAAAAGAATTTTGATTTAGTATTTTTTTTATTAATAAATTTATGTTCTTAAACCCATCCTTGTTGCACTTATTTGAATTTTCTAATATAAATAACATCTTATGAATCCTGATTTATGATTACTTTGAGATTTATATATCTAAAATAAAGATTATTATATTAAGTTGACAAAATTAAAATTGATCACATCAAAGCATGGAAAGATTGTCACGCCAAAATCTTTCTACATTAAGTCAAACGTTCACACGCCCAAAAAAAAAAACAAAAAATCAAATGTGTAATTTGACCAATGCATCGGTAAATTATAATAATAATAGAAACAAAAATCTTCATTGTTCCAAAATTAATGATAACCCCTGGCCACCAGCGATCTAGAATGGCTCCCACGGAGGTCGACGTCACCCACCCTTTAAGACCTGCTGGGAAGCGCCTTTATTTAAATTTTTTTTTTCCAACGAAGTATCTTTTATAATCCTACTAGTTACCCAAGCAACCAAATATAATACGAATATACGATACGAATATTCAAGGTGCTCACAAGCAGACCCAAACAATCACCGATATAAAAGGAAAAAACGAAAGACTCTTTATGAACAGAAAAGCATCCTTATTTAGTTATTATTTGGCCACCATTTTATAATAATACTGACCGAATGTAAAAATAATTTTTTGAATGATACGTCACAAATACGTTCAGAATTGAAAATTTATTGAAATGGAAACAAGTAAATTACCAAAAGTATAATAAATTTAAAAAATTGTATGTATAGATAAATTAATTGGAGAAAGTGTGAAGTTATAAACCATAAAGAAATATTACTTGGAGAATTTAGTACGTCTAAAACGATAGATTGTGACGGGAAAAAAAACACGAAGAGAGATATTAATGGGAAAAAATTGTGTATATACATAGTGAGAAACATGTAAAAAGGAAACAGAGAAAATGTGTATAAAGAGTAAATAGTTTTAAAATATACGTATCTACATGGATACATATATATATATATATATAATAGAGATTTGAACCTCCAACCTCAAATAATAAAGTAAATATTATGCTCGGGTGGATCATTTAGAATTTTAAAAAATAAATATCTTTACTGCAAAGTTATACTTTTAAGTGCGAGTTATAATAATATTTGAAAACTTATCCCCTGAAAGTAGATGACTAAATCAAAACGAGAATAATTCAGTAGTAATTGCCTATTTCTCCAACCAAGAGATTGACCGATGACCGCATTTATAATTTAATTTACAAACTTATTTTAAACTTAACAAAACCAAGGATGTAGATTTCCACATGGAACTCCACTCAATTTGGGCACACACGTGTATCCTTTCAAGATTTCCTCAACAGCAATATAAGATACTCATCATTCACAAACTATAAAGTATTCTAAAAAAACAAACAAATAAATAAAAGTTCCTATATAAAGGAGTATAGAAAAGGGTTTAGAATCCGAACCCCATATAACTTAGCCAGCAATTTTGTGCAACGTATGAAGGATTTCAGTGGGTTTTGGAAGGAAAATTTGATTTGACCTTGCTTTTCTCTTAAATACAGACTAGTTTGTTTGGAAAGATCATCCTTTTTGGCTCGAGGGTATTTGGCTTTTACACCAAAACAGAGCTTGAGAGAGAGAGAGTAAAAGACAGAGAAAGAAAGTCCAAAATTGTTAGAATAATGGAGAAAAGGCACCATGGGTGATGCAGCATTTGGTTTTGTGGTCGCTTTCGAATTCTCTTGCGCAAATGGGCAATTATTAAATGAGAGGAAATGAGTCATCCAGCACAATATGTGATTAATAAAGCACATGCCTTGCATCCAAAACAACAGTGCATATAATATAACTTATTGAAGCAAGCAATCATGAAAGTGACCAAAAAATTCAAATTTTGACACATTCTAATTGACTATTCCTATCCTTTGCTACATTCCTGGGATAGAAGAAAGATCAACCCTATGACTCTTTTGGAGATCCTATCCATATGCTAAAAGGGAGATAGAAAGAAAAAAAAAAGGGGGGAAAGAAAAGGAAGTGATCGCTCTGAATTGAATATGATTTTATTTTCCACTCTAGAACTGTTTTGCAATTTTTTGAAAATGGGAAAAACTAATTTATAAGTTCCACAGTTCAGTGAACCAGAAATATCCAAACTGATTCGGATTTGGATTTGGTTAGCTTAGATAAGCAGAAATGCTTTATTGGGTCAAAGACTCTTGCTTCTGTGGATGACATGATTGAGAATGATGGCAAAGACTAAATTAACTGAATCATCCCTATTTGATGTGCTCTTCTCCCCACTAGTCAACTTATATTCAACGCGCTATTTCTGAATTGAACCATGTTTTTCTTTTAATTGATTATACTCTCTTTTGGCAGTTTAATTAAAGAGAGCAACGACATAATTTCAGAGAAGAAAAGTTGCTCTCGAAATCAATCAATAATACAATCAGACAACTACCATGGAATTGGACTGAAAGCCCACAATATTATAGCCAAGGCCCAAAATTACGAAGGAAGAGATTTAACCTGGAATTTGTCACCATTTGCAACTTTACAACCACTCATGCGGAGGCTTGATCTTCAGCAGCTGCCGCAGCCTTTTTCTTTGCGAAGTATTCTTCTGCACGTGCGAGGTTCTTAGCCACTGATGGCTTAACCCACTTCTTTCGTCCAGGTAGTACTGTAAGGGAGCAGCCAACAGCTTCAAGCTTCTGTTTTGCTGCTGATGAGAAGGATCGAGCCTTGATATTTAGCTTCACACTTAGCTCCCCATCACCTAAAATCTGAAGGAAAGACAAAGTCAAGCGCATATCTATGAGTATGAGTTACCATAACATAACCCCAATGAGTCAAACAAGATCTTTTTAAAGCATTTAGCTTTGATATCAGATCTTGGAGCAGGAAAATGCATCACAATGTCAATTTTGACATTCACTTCTGTAATCCTCACAATAGATGCAGGTGACAATAGTACCTTTAATGGGAGTTTCCTTTCTCTTCCTGATGGGTTGATCAAACCCTTCTCCTTCAAAGTTTCCAGGGAGACCTCTTCCCCTTCCTGAAATCCTGCCTCTTCAATGTCCTTCAGATTCACTGGGACATATTTAGGTAACCCAGCATGCATACCTTGAAAGCAAAAACAATTGTTCAGCTGGAAGTTCAAGAGTGAATCCAAGCGTGACCACAAGAACGACATACAAAAAAACACAATCACCTCAGAACGGGAAGAGAAGAGAAACAAGAGGAGTAAATCAGAAAGTCCACTCTCTTAATATGAGATTGAAATACCTCTCAACATGTGGTGATAAAATAAGCATTATAACCTAAGGCATAACTAGTACAAGGGCAAGGGTAACTATACAAGTTATGCTCGAGAGTTGCCTTTTCGGGTCTGTAGATGGTGACTTTGTCTAGGAGCTTTTGTAATTACACTTTCATTTGACATTCAACCGAATAGAATAGCTTTTTGTAATTCTTTTGGCTGGATTGAGAGGTTATCTAATCCTCCTGTCTAGTTAATACATCATTTTCATTTTCCAAAAACGAAAAAGTAAATTGACAACCTCCCATATCCAGTTTAAATAATATTCTCTCTTCTACAAACCGTCATTATGAGCAATCACAGCTTTCTACTCACTCCAGCCCAAAACACCATATTGAATCATCAATTGTGTTTTCAAGTAACCGGGAGAAGAATGTCCACTTCTAGAGTGACTGTTTTTCTCCCTTGTCCTGATCTTCTAAAATGTAACAGGGTTGAATATCCTACGATCAAGGATGAAGGAATTACACATATTACAAGTGAAATAAGTCCAAACTACTGTAAGCAGTCAGTCTTTTGAATAAGAGGCAGAAATTTCTCAAACAACCTCCAAATATGAAAATAGCAAGAGCAAATTTAGTGGTAAAGAGGGGTGCCCATTGAGAGAAAGGCAATTTGAACTCTCCCTCAACGAAGCAACAAGAAGTTACACCACAATTCAAAGGCACAATTAGCCATTGCGGACGCCTAACAGCCAGATACATAGAGTTCTACTATTCGAGGCAGAAGAATCAATCACAATGACATTAAAATGACAGAGAACAGGGATTACCTCCTGCAATTCCTCTAAGTTTGGGGATTCTCCGATAAAGAGGCATTTGCCCACCCTCGAATCCTTTTCTTACACCTGGCCCAGACCTTGATTTCTGCCCTCTCATTCCAAACCCACAGCTGCCGCCTTGCCCCGCCGATATACCTCTCCCCTTTCTCTTCCCCTTCTTCCTCGACCCTGGCTGCGGTCCAAGATTGTCCAGTCGAAACCGCACACCCTCGACGGAGGAGGCAGACAGGGAAGACGCAGCTGCCTGGTTGCGAAAAACCAGGTGTTTTCCATCTCCGACCTTGAATTTGAGCCTGAATGAAGAAATGTTGAACGGCTTCGAGTTCAAAATCTTCACATCTCCCTGGAAACGCAAGAGAATTAGAGATTCGTAAATGATTAAAGCATCAATGCACCAGAAAATTGAACTGACTTAGTTTCTCCAATCTCCAACAAAGAAAGCGAAGCAATATAGAGGAAGGAATGTGAAGTACCTTGAACGAAGTGGTTGGAAGAGAAACAGCAGTTGCTGCTCTGCTCAAGGAACTTGCAGATAAGGAAAGAAGGGACGCCATGGATAAACTGGAAGTCAGTGCTTACAGTTGTCGTTCCATTCCCATTTCCCCTCTTTTTTCCCTTCGAGAAATCCAAACACTTCAATACGGGCCTAATGGGCCTCGATTATTCCCAACATGGGTCGGTAGGTAGTTTTTCGGGCTTTTCTATATTGGGCTGCAACAGTTTTCCTTAAAAAAAATAAATATTTTTTAACTAATAACTACACCTTATTCCTTTGTTTGTGAAAGAAAATGTTTTTGAATCATTCAGCGATATTTAGATAATATAAAAGAAAACCTAGTTTAGATAGGAAATAAATTACTCATAGCCACTCAGACTTAAAAAAAAAAATGAATTAACATTGAATAAGAAACTTTAGAATTCGGGCGAGTTCTTATTTCCATTTTAGTTAAATTCCAAATCTACCAGGATTCAAGATCTGATATTTATCCAAGCCATCGATAATTACACAAACTCAAATTCAAACTAACTTAATATCTAACATGATCTGGGAGGCAAAAACCGAGTATAGCTCAACGGTAATTAACATATATCTCAAACTCAGAGATGGTAAGTTTGATCCCCACCTCCTTGTGTTGTACTTAAAAATACATGGTTCGGGAGGCAGTTAGAGGAATAGTTGGGCCCAAATTAGTGGGGGAGTGGAAGCCCAAAAGAGTATGAATAATGGGCCAGGCCCAGAATCCGTCGGCAGGCAGTGGCCACCGACTCAGATAGTCATATTCGTTGAAACATATAGTTCACCAAATCAACAAAAAGAAAAGGTGACGTTTTTTCTCCTAAAATGGTCGGCGAGATTAAGTTGGTTTTTTCTCCTACAATCTCCCCAAAAATCGACCAGCAAATACTCCCCTTTTTTTTTTCTTTAAAAAGGATCCGAATTTCTTTTTTTTCAGAGTAAAAAAAGCATGCAGTCAAACCGACTGTACTGGTCAAAAATAAATAAAAGTGCTTGGAGTTCACATGGTGTGTAATCAGTAGGACTATAAATGGTCGGTGAGAAAAAATGATAACTTTCGTCTGCCTGTGCATAAATCTCTCTCTTCTCTTCCCTTTCTCCAATTGGTCGCCTTCCATATGCTTCAATTGCGGTACCGTCAAAACCCAACTTTATATCTCTATTCCCATTCCATGTTGTGTACATTTCTTTTCTTTCAATAGAAAGACGTAAATTTCTATAAATGTATCAGAAAAAACAAAAAAACAAACTTGACCAGTGTGAAATAACTCCTTAGACTTCTTTTTGGGCGAGGGCCGGGGATGATGGAATTTCCATTGCCGCCTTTACATATAAAAATTGTAACCTTACAACTTACAATAATTAAAAGTATATATCAAGAGAGATCAAAGACATTTTTCAACTCACTACAAATAGGAATAGTAATAAAGAAGAAATGATTAATTATCATATCTAATGAGTAAACATGGTCTATGATCATTTTTATTAAATATATTGGTACGTGATCGTAAAATAAAACAACTGCTGCCTTTTCTTTTTGTCTTCATTTTTGGAAAAGGAATTGTGATATTTGATGGGGAGAAATGGCAGATAAAAAGGAAAAGAGGAGACAGTTTTCATGCAAAAATTTAGTTGGCCCGAAAAGTAGAGAAAGGTTGAATTTTTTAAAGCTGACTTTGTTTTTAGGTTTCTCATTTTAAAAACCCAAACGAAATCCTCTTAACAATCATTAACTTTGACCTTTTTTTTTCATCTTCAAAAAGAGAATGTCGTGTTAAAGGCAGTTGCCGCAGTTCCATTTTCCGCGGATAGTTCGTTTTGTTTGTTTGTTTGTTTCTTTCTTTTTCTTAAAACCGACCCCTTTTACAACTGCCAGACTAATTTCGAGTTATTATCGGTGAGGTAATTGAAAAAGAAAAAAAAAAAAACTATTTATTTTATGATATTTATGTAAAGACTCTTTATTTTATTTTTGCTTTTAAAAAGTATATTTTTTTCTTTAAGAAACAAAACTGTTATTACGACTGGTTGTCGGTTCTCAACATTTTTCTCAATAAAAAATAGTTTTTCTTTTAAGTGTTGTTATAAAAATTTGAATGGTCTTTAATATGTTAAAGAGAATTGATATAAAGATGTTAATCGTGGCTGTTGAATACTAATATAGAATTGTATATTAGTATTTTCGAAAATGTGTTTGGTAGTAATTTTGGAAATTGAATCCCAATTTAGAAAATTATTCAAGTTGTATTTAGTAATGTATCTATAAACTAGTAATAATTACCGATTTTAATCTAAAATATTATTAGGTAATTTATAACATCTTTACATGTTTTTTAATTTTAACAAAAAGGTGAAATAAGTTTATATCTTGAAATAGTATATTTGTCTTTCTGGATCGCGTGACGGAAAGCAAATGTTTGATCAGATTTTGAAATACCACCTGCTTTTTAGGTATCCAGTACCAATCTTGTGTTGGTCACAATGTTGCTCAACCTAAACAATAAGTCTCCGCTCAACCTAAACAATAGTGTAAGATTCCGAAAAGTAAAAGAAAAACCTAAAGTAGTATATTTATCAAAGTTGATATATTTTTTAATTTAATTTTTCGAATTTAAAATGTTAAAACAACATTTTCATATTTACACTATTTGGTTAACAGAATAATCAAAAAATAATTTTAAGAAAACAAAATTTTCAAATAGATATTAACTTAATCTATTCTAAAAATTAAATAAGAAATAGAATTCGAGTAGCATACCGATTAACTTTTGTTTTTCAAAATTTTTCTAATTCAATACACATTTTGTATTTTAATATAATTTGAGCTTACAATGAATAGTCAATATATAATTTATTTATTTAATTATTGTTTTTTTTTAAGAGAATGGAATGCAATTGACTAATAAATGTAAGATGCAACACTTCGACACAAAAACCTTTAGAAGAAACGAAAATATGATAACATCTATTAATCATTACCTTCACACCAAGTTGAATAATTAATTCAAAAGCTTAAAACCCTCCTTGTGTTAATAAAATTATTATATTCAAAAATTCAAACCTCAAAACACCTTTTTTAATAATGGTCTCTTAGAATTGGAAGATGAAGAAGAAGATGATGATGTGGACAGATTTTCCCATCTTTAAACAAAACTTTTCAAGAGTTTCAACGGACTTTGTCTATTTTCTTCTTCATTGACTGTGCTTTTTTTTTTTTTTTTGAAGCTTTGACAGTTTTGAAATCTCAATTTGAAATTCAAGACTTTATTTTTTATTACTTTATCCATATACTTTTTATAACAAGGATTTTAATTAATAAAGTTTAATTTCTTTCAACAATTTTTAAGGAATTTGTAAACTATTTGATTCAAACAAAAGTTTAAATATTATTCTCTGTGTGGATTTGAAATATTTATTTTGGTCAAATACAATACTCAGAACTCAAATTTTAAAGGAATTCCATTAACATTGGTTTGAAATGAGTAATTTTCATTATTTTAGAGTTTAATCAAAATTTTGTCAGAAAAAGAAAAGAGAGAGAAAGAAAGAAGTTGCTAAAAATGCTTGAATGCAACAGAACCGAAAAATATTTATCTTTCTGTGAACTTTCAGTTAAGAAAATTAGACGGGAATTCAAACGATATTCTACAAAACCATGACTGCAAATGGAATTCAAATATTGAATTTCAATTTTCAAACTTTGTTCAAGCTGTTAAGAAAAAGAAAAATTAAGCAAAGAGACATTTTTCATATGCATGTTACTTTGCTTTTTCTATTTCTTCTTTTTCCCGTCTCAATTGTGTGAATGAGGGAGATGTTCCTAAGTTTAAGGCATCATTAGAGGATAATGACACAACACATGACTAGTTTTTAAATGAATTACTAAAATCCTACAAGTGTACCCAACAATTTTAGTATAAAAATTAGAACGCTATTTGATGATATGATTCATGTTTTTTTCTATAAAATACATCTCTTTGAGAAAATATATCATGTGAGATAGTGATTTACCAACTACAAATCTAGAAAAAAACACTCATAATACACAAAATCTAGAAAACCTTATCAAGTTGATAAAACTTATTTCAAAGTCTTGCAATTTTCTCTCTTTCTTATCAATCATTGGAACTTGCATTATTTAATAACTTATGTATCATTTGAGCGGATTATACAATCACTCACATTTGATCAATTGTGACTAGAGATGACGTACACTATGCCTTCATTTGAAAAATTAATTATGATTCGAGGCATGTCTATTTTTATCATTTTGCTTTTCAAATGACTATGTACGTATACTATAGTCATACATTTCAAATCTACCGCTAAGGACGTTAATGATTTTAAAGTAAGAAAAAGAGGGAGAGAGAGAACAAGAGGTGAAATCTTTTTTTTTTTTTGGGAAAAGAACAAAAGAATGGTGGAGGGGGACAAGGAGAAGTGTGATATTGTGGTTAATGTATGTATTGTATCGAGGATGAATGAGATGCTATTTCGTGATGTTCCCTAAATAGCAGCTGAAAAGAAGCATTTACATAAATGCATTAACTTGTGTGGTTGGCTAAAATTGAGACAAGAGAGAAATAAGTGGGTCTCTAATACGTAGACTCCAATTATACATATTTTAGGGTCAACGCGGCGGGGACATTAATCTCCGTCTCCGTTTTCTTAAACAATAATCTCTCCTTCTTTTTTCTGTGTCGTTTGAACCAACTTTTTGTATAGGTCGAAATTTTTTCCTTCTAAAAAAGTAATGCAATTTAACGAGATAAATGGATATTTAAATATACTGTCAATTCACCATTTAACCTAAAAACTTAAGCTTATAAAGTTAGATAGATGTATTAGAATCTTGGTTAATGATAGATTTAGTCTCCCTAAACTTTAAGAATTTTATTTAATACATTCTTGAAGGTTTTTTTTTTTTTTTTATAAAAATACTTGATTGGTCTCTGAACTCTCAATTTCATGTGAAATAGGTGCCTAGAAAGTCTCGACTTGTTAGACATTTGTTTAAAATTTAAGGATACATCAGACATAAAATTGAAAAATCAAGTATATCTATATAAGACGTGATAGAAA